CCACGATTATCTAGTAATCTGATTACTATAGCCGCAGCTTATTACGATGATCTTTTACCATGTAAATTAAAATCAACAAGAAAAAGCTTGATTGTATTAGAATCAATTAGAAAGAAAAAATAATGAGTGAATGGATAAAATTAGGCAAAATAGAAATACTTTGGAGTAATTCAAAGTTGTTTGAAACTCTCCACTTACAACTGGTTGTTCAAAATTCTTTTTTGGCCCATATAGAACAGGTTTTAGAACTAAGGACTCGATATTCAGACTGGCTAATGTTCCAATAAAGTTTGACATTGATAATAATTGCATCCAACCTGATGCAAAACGTGGCGTATTCGTAGGACGAGTCATATGTAGCAGATAACTAAATAAATATATGAATGATAATTGAATTTACCTAGTTTTGCTTTTTTAACATAAATGCTCACGTAAATCCTTGTAATGTTTCGAATAGAAGAAGTTTATTCGATTTAATCAGTAATTTAAACATTGTTTCAAGCATTTTACTATAAGACGATGACGGAAATTCTTGTAGATTATTTTTATCATGTTCAGCCTTGATTACACCACAAATGATGCCTAAAATCTGGAATGATATAAAATATTAAGCGAAGACAAAAAAAAGGAGTACAATTGTACTTTATGAAGAGTTAATGCATTCTTTGTCAAATCCCCATTGATAACGTTTGAACATGTTCGTATTTGACAAACGCATAACGTTGCTACAGATTCTAATACAATCAATCTTTTTCTTGTTGATTTTAATTTACATGGTAAAAGATCATCGTAATAAGATACGGCAATAGTAAACAGATTACAATAAAATCGTGTCATATAATCATAACGTAATAAATTTTTAACAGTCGATTGTAGTTTACTAATTTCATAGTATAATCGTTCATAATGCTAAAAGAAAATTTTTTTTCTACTTATGATAAAACAAGTTCGATATATCACAGACGATTTTATTCAAATATTTTACTTGCAACGCAAATTGATAATAGAATTGTATTAATTCTTCTTCATTCATAACATTCATATAAACTTTTATCCATTCTTTTAGCAGAAATTTTGCTCGTCCAATTAAATTTGGTGGATCATATTTTGTTAAATTTCTTGCTTGAAATAGACCTTGATTAAATGCAATTAGTGCCCGTCCAAAGTCTGTATCATTATTAGTTCGAATATTTAGATCTTGTTCTAACCAAATAATATTCATTGTATCATGCAATAATCTATATGAAGATGAAGAATAAATAAAAAATGAATCACAAACAAATGAATATGGAACCAAATACCCTTCGACTGGTGTATGATTAACAACCACTTTTACATTGATTGCTTGTAAACATTGTGGCATGTTAAGATGTTGATAGAACATTGGTCTCTCAAATTTACATACATGAATTAATTTCAATACAAATTCTAGTATAACTGAGGATGAGTATGGTTCATTGTACAACATCTAAACACTAACCATTTTAGCATTGATTTAACCGATTTGAATGTCATATTTTCTCACTTGAGCCAATGCTGAGTCGTAGATATTACTAATTAATAATTTCATTTTTAAAAATAATAGCACAGCTTCTAAATTAAATTGATTTTGTTGATGATGTTCAATAACACGACTGAAAAGAGAAAAACAGACTCACTTATTCATGTAATTTTTGACAAACATGTTGCTATTATTACTTAGTAACAACTTTTTCTACACAAACTGGACCATGAAGTTTTTCTTGGACAAGATAAAACATGACAATATGAATATTTCGAAAGCGTAATGCAATTTTTTGATCTAATGAGATGTTATCGGGTTTGTAAACATCTAATAAATTATTCGTTATCTTAAGTAGAAAAAACACAAAAGTAGATTCAACAGATTCAGTATAGATGTGCTCATAATTTGGAAAGAGAAATCATCTATGTTAAAATCTCTAGAATCTTATCAAGTTTTTTCTGAACAAGATTGGATAATTCCTTTACTCCTTTGCTGCTGGTTATATAAATCATACAAAAAACATAGTTAAATTTTATAGTATTATTTTCTTACAGATTTCGGTCGTACACTACGAATAAAGAATGTCTCAGTAGATAGACATCTTAGTGATTAAAAAATGCATCCACGTTATAATGAATGCACATTGACAGATGCCTTTGTGTCACATTATTGGCTGTGATGCCACTGGTTAGTCGTGCGGGACTTAGTATTCCATCATACTAAAACAGTATTGCTACATGCGCCATATCATTTGTCTCTCTCTCGTTCTCTCCTGCTGTCACTATCACATACAAAGGTTAAATCTCTTTTAAGTAGAAAATCAATGTTCCTCTAAAGATACACTTGTTTTTGCGAAAGAATAGTTAAAACTTTAACAGAAGCAGATTTACTACACTTTTTGAAACAGAGAATCTCCACGAAATATCCAGCATACATAGAATTGCCCTTTACAATGTCTTATCTAGTCGCCGTGAGTATAAACTCCAGAAATCAGCCACATTCTGAAAGCACTGCAGAAATGTACCTACTATAAAAAAACGTACCTCTTTTTCTGCGATGCACTTACCTCGCGAAGATATTCAGAAAGCGTATGACGCAAGTCAATGTCTAGGAATAGACGCTCGAAACTACCTGTCGAACAGGCAAATAGTTACTACGGTTGATGGTACTACCATGCTTTCGAATCCCCTGTTTGTTTCATGTGATGTTCCACAGGAATCAGTTCTAGATCTTCTCCTCTTTCTAATATTTATCGATGATCTTCCCCTGGGATTAACTTCTACCTGTAAATTTTGCTAATGACGTATCACTGTATGTTGAAGCAGATAATTTAGGGAGAGCTGTCTCTACTATGAACAACCACTTGGACAGAATCAATCTTTGGTCTAAGCAGCGGTCTCTACCACTAAATGTTAATAACTGTGTCGCTATGTTATTTTCCTAGGATAAAACTCTAATTCCTTCTTCTTCCATGTTTATTGATAATATAGCGCTGGAATACGTTGGGAAACACGTTCACTTACGTTTAACGTTGGAATCAGCGTTAGACTGGTTGCCTCATATTAATCTTCGCACTAAACTACTGCGCGTAGTCAGCTCAATGAAAATATTTAAGTAGACATGTTTCTTGTCAAACATTAGTCTCCGTCTACCATGTGTTTGTTCTTAGTGTTATTAACTACGGACTTGTTATCTATCAGAAGTGGGATCGGTTCGTGTTTTTCTGCAACCGAATCGAATCGAACCGTACTTTTTTTCAGAAGTTCAAACCGAACCGGTCAATGTTTTTTATATGTAATTAAAGTTAGAATAAAATGTAAAACTCTTTGTTCTTTGTATTTATCATTCAAATACTTCTCACTTTAGTTCTTTGTTTCCGTGTGTATTCTTTCTCTTCGGAAGTGTTTTTACCTCACTTTCAAAAAGAGAAAAGAGTCCTGTTATCACTGGAAAGCATCTGTTCTATAAGAACAGAAAATATAAGATGACTGTTTATTTATGCATTTTTTGCCAGTAAATATTTATATTTTTGCTAGGAATTTTTAAAAATAGTATCATTCACAGTAATATTAGTAATGCCGCCGAAATGATTATTTGTAAACCCCTACTTAAACATTTTAACAAAATACACTTCTTTTCTAGTTTCGATACCCTTTTGCGCACAGCACAGGAAGCTACTTGAGAGAAAATCAAAGACTATTAGTATAGTCTCTGACTTTGTCACAACTTTTGACCATACTCCACTATCGGACTGCTTATGATCTGCGCTATCGGACGAAAAAAAATCAATCTGCAAAGCAAGTCACTTTCTATATTCTATCCATTATAGAGTCCATGAAAACAGATTTTTCAGTCCATGGACTGTAAAAAAGTAGTCCAGTTCAGTTCACAATACAAAACAACATGTTTTTTACTGATTATTCCTTTGTTCAAGTGAATCTAAAACTTTTTTTCGAATCCAGATCCTTCCTTGGTCCTTGGTCTTGAAAGTTTGAGTTCAGTCCAGTCCGAGTGCATGAGCTCAAAAAATTTTCAGCGCAGTCCAGTCAATACGAAGATCTGGTAGAATCGCAACAACTTATTTAAATAAAAAGAGAAGTGTGCAAAAGTCTTAACCTCAGCAAACTTTCGGCAGTTTGCGCACATATGTTTGTATACGTACGATACTTATTCTTGCACATGCTATTGGCTATGGTACCTTCCTTTGATTAATTATGCTTCAAACAGTAATTTTTATTTTACTTTCTAGTTCGAAATAGAAATATCTCAAATCTAACTTCTAAAGAGTTATTGTTTTAAGCTACTTTAAGGATGGACAGTAACGATGGGCCTATTGCACGAGTTAGTCTCGGCTATACCATAGATAGTCGAAGCATTTGTCTGAAAGTAGACGCTCAAGAGTTTGAAGGCCATGGTCTATCCGTGATCCACGTCAAAAAATGTCCTACACAGGTGCAAGTAAGGCTTAAAACTCGAGGTTTCCACTACCAAACAATAAAAAAATATTCATTTTGAAAAACATATAACCCGCAGAGATGGGATCGGTTCGTGTTTTTCTGCAACCGAACCGAAGTCGGTTTGTTCGGTTCGGTTTGGTTTGAAACCGAACTGGTCCCTCTGTTATCTATGGTAGAATAACTACTACAAATATAATTCGCTTGAATCAAATTCAGTATCAAGCAGGTCTTGTTGCTTCGGGTGCGATGCGAGGAACATCTCTGAAGAAAATTCTTCAGGATCTTGGATGGTTCTCTATTTCACAACTTTTATATGTTCATTGCATGTGTTTATTTCACAAAATTATGCATTGTAGAGTGCCTTCTTATCTTATTGAATTGTGTTCTAATCGCAATCCGATTGCGATTTGTTATAAGAATGATGATCATTCCTATAACACTAGGAGCTCTGCTACTAAAAATGCTCTTACTTTTTTTAGAGGTCGTGCTTTTTTTGAAAAAATATTTGTTACGTGAAACGTCGACAGTGGAATATGCTACACGATAATACTAAACGATTGCACCAACGACTTTAAATGTTACCTAACTTCTCAATATGTTCAACCCTTTCGTACTCGTCCTAGTGTATGATCGTTCTCTTAAAATTTGCCATACACGCTGTAGACTAGGTTTTCCTCAATTAAATGCATCTCTTTTCACTCATGTCTTTTATTCTTTGTTCTTATATAGTGTCACATGAATGAAGTTCTCTTTGCCTACTCAAATTTCTCTATCTCTCTCTCCTCACCATCTTTCATTTTTTTCTCCCTTAATTGTTTTGTTTATTGTTTCATTTTTATCGAATAAATCCAGGCATACAATGGTTATATTATCGCTTTGCCTGCCCTTTTTTTTCTTCGTTTTTTTGCTGTTGGCGTTAAATAAAGTTCGATTAAGATAAAATTCAAAATATCTTCGTCATGAAGAGAGAATAAAATAAACTTTTTAGGGAATAGTGAATAAATCTTATTAAAAAACTCTTGGTCTCTCCTTCTGCTAACGAGGGAATCTCTTCAGGTGTTCCCTCCGATTTCAGTGATCTTTTGTCAATAGATAGATGGTAGTGTCCTAGTAAAAGCCTAGAAGGATTTGGGTTCTTATTGCTTCCTTCAAAAGTTATGAATGGTTTTGTGCTACCTGTACCGAGCATCATACAAAACATTAAAAAGGCATAACTTTGCGAAAATGGCAAATTATATTAATGCTTGAAATTCGGTAACCGAAGAAAGGTAGACGCTAAAAGTCTGAAACTTTCTGTGTTATTGATAGTCGATTAGTAACACTATGACAAAAACTTTCAAGCCTTAAGAGTCAATTTCTGGTAGTTTCGGCAGATTAGCCCGTAACTTTCTGAAATTTAATTTTCGAATCAGACTTTTTGTTAGGCATATTATTAATAAAAAACCTGAAAGGATGAGACCGAAAGGATGACCGTTCCATTAAAAGTTATAGCCAAAATAAAGAATCGTTCTCTTTTAGGTTTCAGGTAGAGCTCATTAGAAAAAATTTTACTTTTCAACAGCCATATGTCCATTAAATGTTCTTTTCATATGAATCGATAGAGAAGAGAGTGCGCTATCTGACTATGCGCTAAAAGAATGACTGACGCTAAAAGAATGAACTATTAGAATGTTTCAGCTCTTAATTTAGAAGCATCAGTAAGAGCGTCGCTCGAACAAAAAGACTGAAGCTTTGCTGCATGCAGCAACAGTAGGAATCTAAACCAAGCATATGGTAATAATCTCCAATGGTCACTCTATTAAAAAGCGTTTTCAGAAGTAAGGACAAATTTATAATGTTTAAAAGAAACCGCTTCTAATGTTTTTCAGTGCCTTTTTGGCCACTTTTTTGACCGTTATTGTAATTTTTTTAGTTAGTATTTATTTTTATAAAGAATCATTAAACAAATTCGTGATCTGCGGATAAAATTACGTTAGATCATATAAGTTTACTAATTATAATCCGTAAGTGGATTGATCAGCATCTAGAGAAGTGACTAGCGCCAGATCTTCAGTACTGAAAAAGGCTTAATCTATATGATACCTACCCCCATTACATCAACTTTTGGCGCCAACGATGAGACACACAAAATCTGAAGCAGTTTTGTATGCTGAATCCAATGTAGAAAACCGCAGATCTCTACGTCACTAGGAAAAAAGTTATGTGCAAATTACTCTCCCAGCGGAAATGAGCATTTTCGCTGTTTTCAATCATATTTCACCTAAGTTGTAAACGCTGCCGATGACACATTCCCTAACGTAGAACCTTGAGCCTGGTCTCAAATGATGAGCCTGCTAGGTATGCACCGGTATCGGTATTCATACCGAAATACCGATACCGAAAATACCGAACTTCGGTATATACCGATACCGAAAATACCGACTTTTTTCACTTAGAATTTTTTGGATTTTTTTATTTGAAATGAGATGTTTTAGCATCCTGGACACCCAGAATGAATCAGGGACGGAAAACAAAAGCTTTTTTTCCTTTCTAAAGCGAAAGTTTTTTTTCTCTTTCTGTCTGAACATGCTCAAAATACAGAGTGTTGTTTATACGTTCTGCTTGTCCAGAATGCTAAAATACCTCGTTTCAATGAAAAAATCCAAAAAATTCCAAGTCAAAAAAAGTCGGTATTTTCGGTATCGGTATATACCGAAGTTCGGTATTTTCGGTGTTTGGTATACCGATACCGGTGCATACCTATATACAAGTTTACTCTTTCTTCTTCTGGACTATGTACCGAAATCTTGTTTTCATTTTTAGCGATTAACATTCACGATTTCTACTTCGATGGCATATATATGACCGCATCAAATGATCGCTTTCCTTTTCAAATATCCTTTACAATTGAACTAGCAAATCGATAAAATATTGTCAACATATGCTTAATTCGATTATATATAGGAGTAGAGGAAAACATGAAGATGCCGAAGTTTCGCCATTTTTCGATACGTAAAGAACCGACTATATACAAATTTCTTCTCAGACATTTGGACTCTGACAGAAGGACAGTGATCTGTGTTTTATTCCTGCATTGAGAAAAGAAAGATGTTTCAATAAGCATTTGTGCAACATGTTCTAGAGAGAGGGAAAATGAGTTACTACATTACGAGAAAACTTGTCTTATTCTAATTTTAGATTTCGAGAAACTCATGAAATTGTTTTTCCAACACTATTCA